CAAAAGCAGATTCAACTGTGGCTTTTAAAATGGAATTGGAAAAACACCTAAAAAGATAAAAACGGCAGGAGTTCGGGGAAACAGGATGATCTAAATCAGTCGTGCAGAGAACCAGCAGGGGCTCGGTAGCTGAACATCCTCCTGCACCATTCAATGATTCAGTTCTGTCATGTTGTATCTAACACCACCCTTTACATGTAGATGTGTTTGCTAACTTCAGGAGACCATCCCTCTTAATCTTAGACGTCCAAACTAGGACAGAATAACAAAATTGCACAAGGAAGCCATATGTTCCTCTGAATTTGTAGCAGCCAGCGGAAATAGCTCTGACTCATTACCCTATCTGTACCACATAATACTTTAAGAAGTTGGATCAAATCAGCCTTGAATATTCTAACTTCCAGGAAATGTAACCCCAGTTTGTATCATCGCTCTTCATAATTTATTCCTTGAAGTCAAGGTTTTATTCTTGTAAAGGCCTTCAAATCACACCTAAAGGTGTGGTGTATTGAGTTGCTCACTGTAGTCCAGGTATGATCTAACTCGTGCTTTGTAAACTGAAGCATGATTGTCCACACTGCTTAGCATGCTGCCTGTCTTTGTGTTGTCAGCATTTTAGGATGTGTGTTTTTTATTCTATCATTTAAGACATTATTACATACAATGAATAGTTGAGTGTGCAGCACAGAACATGGCTTCTGTCTGTCTCTTGCTGCTTAAGCCCATTTCGTAATCAGGTCAGTGATTTACCTTCAATTCAGTGAGCTGTTATTCAACCTTTTGGACCTATGTAGTTCCTCACCACACTTTTGTTTTAATAACAGAATTATCACAGCCATAAACTATCCATTTGGCTGTCAAGTTGCTGTCAACCCACTCTAGAGTAAGCCAGTCAGTTCCATTTCCTGTCTGTATCCCTGTAAAACACTGCGTATTTATTCCCCTCAAGTAACCATTTAATGTTCTTCTGGAAACATTAATTTTCTTCACTTCCACCCTCGTGGTATCAAGTTCTGGGTCATCAGCATACATTTTATAGAAGTGTTCTTCCTTATATCTCCCCTTCACACGACCTTAAATCTATGTACTCCAATCCTTGAGCCATCAGCTCTTGGCAACATGATTTACTTGTTTAACTGATTTAAACCTGGCATGATCTTTTGCTGTCTATCAAATCTTCCCTGAATCTCTTTCAAACCAAGGAATACAACCCCAGCTTCCAAAACCCAGGTCTCTAAAGTCCTTCATCACTGGAACCATTCTGGTTCATTGCTTCTGCAGTCTCTGAAGGAGCTTCACATCTTTCTAAGTCATAGGGATCAGAACTGGACACAATGATCAGAATAGTGTAATTAAATCCATTTTGTCTCTCCCTAATACTTCACACTTCCATGGATGTTAAATTCCATTCTGCCTCCTACCCATATCTTGTTGCAGTTGATTGGCGCCATTCTCGCTGTTTGCTATGTCTTTTTTTTTCTTATTCTTTATTCATTCATGGGACAAGGGCATCGCTGGCTATAGCGTTTATTGCCCATCCCTAATTGCCCAGAGGGCAGTTAAGAGTCAACCACAAGAGTCACATGAAAGCCAGACCAGGTAAGGGTGGCAGTTTCCTTCCCTAAAGGACATTAGTGAACCAGATGGGTTTTTCTGACAATAGACAATGGATTCAGGGTCATCATTAGATTCTTAATTCCAGATATTTATTGAATTTAAATTCCACCATCTGCCATGCATTATCTGGGTCTCTGGGTTAACAGTCCAATGATAATACCACTAGGCCATCGCCTCCACTAATTAGGTATTAGAATCTTAGAATCCCTACAGTGTGGAAACAGGCCATTCAGCCCAACAAGTCCACACCGTCCATCCCACCCAGACCCATCTGCTCGCCCTATTCCTGCATTTTCCATGGCTACTGCACATGACTATAGTACACATCCCTGAACACTACGGGCAATTTAGCATGGCCAGTCCACCGAACTTGCACATCTTTGGACTGTGGGAGGAAACTGGAGCACCCAGAGGAAACCCACGCAGACACAGGGAGAATGTACAAACTCCACACAGACAGTCACCCGAGGGTGAAATCAAACCGGGGTCCCTGATGCTGTGAGGTAGCAGTGCTAACCACTGAGCCACCGTGCCAATGGAAATTGTCAAGGTTTTACTTTATGGTCTTATATTCAAGTTATTTATTTGCATCAAAAAAGCATGGAATCTTGAGAAAAATCACTGTCTAGAGAATGGTAATGAAATAGGATTTTGTGTAGACTTTGATCATCTAACAGGATTCTTTCCGTACTCCCTTTGTTGCCCTTGCTCCCCCTTTCATCACCCTTTGCCCTGTTTAATCTGTTTGTGGAATATATGCATTACTTGCAATATTTATGACTTTTATGTCCCATTCCTAATTACTTTTGAGAAGGTGGTCATTGTTAGTACCTAAAAGGGTTAACTAATATCTCTTGACAGGCTCACCCATCAGGATATAAAGGACTCTCCCTAGAAGGAACCTAACCAGAGTTGTGTCTCGCTATAGCAGTTCTGTGTTTTTCAGACTGTATTATAGTGCTTCAGTTACTGTTTTTAGTGTTAATAGCATGTAACCTTTTAAGGATTTTATACTTAACCTTAAGATTATTCCTTCTTCACAGGAGACTATCTCAGATGTAATGTAACTAACTATAAAGTAAATGTGTACTATGCTTATTAACAGTTCATCAAAATTGAGCCGATCTTCTGTCTAAGAAGATGTTTTGAGTATCCTTCCTCACATGTTATCTGTAGTTTGGACTAATACCAACAATAAGGATTGTTGGTAGTGAATCTACCCAGTCATCCCAGATGGTTTAAACAGAAACTAACATATACAAGAATAGTGAGCTATATTTTTGAATTGCTGTCATCCACATGGGCAAGGATGCCATCCCCCTCAAAAACATTGTTGGGAAGTGAGTTCTAGGTTTTTGACCCAGAGTAAAGTACAGAACAGTTCCGAGCCAGGAGGGTGTGTGAGGGGAACTAATGGTATCCTCATGCATTGGCTGCCCTTGTCTTCCTAAATGGTGGAAGTTGCAAGTTTGAAAAGTATTGCTGGCAGAAGCTCAGTCAGTTGTTGTAGTGCATCTTGCTGATGGTGCATGTTGCTGCTATTGTGTGTCAGTGTGGAGAGTCAATGCTGAAGGTGGTGGATGAGGCACCATCTGAGTAGTTGCCTTGTCCTGGATTGTGTCAAGTGAGTGTTGTTGGAACTCACTCATCCAGGCAGAGGGATAGTGTTCTGTTACTTTGTATAGTAGGGGAGGCGTGGGAGTGGTGGAGAGGGGGTGTTGTTTGGATTGGGTGGGGAAGGGAGTTGGTAGCAGGCAGTTGTATTGGATGAAGGTAGCAAGAGGCCAAATTTGAATGAACTTACAAGTTATTGGGCTGAGTGAGGTCATGGAGATATCTTGGCTGGGGCCAAGAGGAGATTTAAGTGTGAGGATGGGATGTATATATCCCAGATGTTGTTTGAAGGCCACAGTGTAAGTCAAGGTACAGAAGAGACAGGAGAGTGGGATGTTACAGAATCACAGAAGTGTAGGGACTCAGAAGGAGGATTCCAGCAGGTAGGTTTTAGGCAAGCTCAGATTTATGAAGGCTAGAAGTTGGAAGGAAATCTTGGCAGGAGTGGGACTGATTAGTCCAAAAGTAACAACAAAATGGTTTAGAGTATCAGAAGGCAGTGGTTTTTTTGCAGGTGTGGAAACAAACAATGATCTGGAAGTGGACGTATGCGGTGATTTTGAAGATTACATAGGCTCAGGCTGGGGTCAAATACAGTGTGGACTTTCTGAATGTTCTTTTGTGAATGAGTATGCAGGGCCAGGGTGGAATCAGTGGTGAAGGAATGGAATGGAGGATAGGGAAGTTTGTTTCCATCCTTCAACAATGTTGTATTCCTGTACAGGTACAAAAAGATCCCACTTGTGGAGCAAATGGAATATCAGCAAAGAGTAGACAAATTCAACTTTTACAATCATTAGAGTAACTCGGTAGGGGAGAACTTGAATATTGGTGACAAAAAGGTGCATTTGCCAAAGCTTTTTGACTTGCACTCATGAGGAAGAATACCAATACGAAACAATGACAAATTTGTAGTGTATGAGATTGTATGAGCAGACTTGAATTGGTAGAGCTATTGCCATGTAGAATGCAAAAATTATACGATAGCTGACTGTTAACGGCTACGTTTTGTTTATCTTTAACTGAGGCAAATGGGCTCTGATTATTCAATTCTTTCTCCTGAGGAATTAACCAGAAAATAGCTGTTTTCTATTTTGTTTAGTTTTAACAAGCACAGTGTCTGCGAAGAACAGGCCCAGTATGTTAATATGTAACTTGCAGCACACTCAAGTGCACCACAATGTGAGCCCTAGTGACAATGTTAAATTGGTTACCAGCATAATTGATAACACATTCGGGATTATTTACCAAGTGCTGCCCAATCACAGAATCACATCTAATTTTGGACACTGAGTGAACTTGTCCACTGTCAACAGGCTGTTTGAGTATCGTTGGTACTTTACCTGTTATGAACAGTAGAAGGAACATGCTATTTGATATGATCCCCCAGCCTTTGAGACGAACAGACCTAACATCATGGAGTTCAATCTAGAAAGAAGATAGTTAAGGAAGGAACCTCATCTCAATATACAGATCGTTAAATGATATGGACATGTTAAATGTTAATACTTCAAAGCAAGTTAAATTACAGTACGAGGAGATATAAATTTGAACAGGTGAAAAGGAAATGTTTGTTCAGTATTTTACATTTTTCAGTAGTATTTGAAATAAGCTACCAGATACAGAAGGAGGAGCAGAAACATTAGAGATTGTCAAACAGAGACTGAAAGGTACAATTGGACACTGGAAGCTTTCGGTTTGTTGCATTGAGTGGCTTTTGTTCAAAGTTTAAAGTTGATTTGAGTGGTTCTTTCTTTTTTCTTTGACAGACCCTGGGAGCCCTTCCAGACCAGGATTCATTCTATGATGTTACAGACTGTCTTGAGCAACAGGGGCTAGAAAAAATCATTCAACGGCACATGAGTAACAAAGGAACTGACCCAGACGTAAAGCAACAGTTTACCATTTACGAGGTAAAATTAGTTTCATGTTACAATGTAGCTGGAATAGAAGAACTGCATTCTATTAGTAAAAATGTGCAATTATTAGTATAACTGCAATTTAGTAAATGAAAAGCTAATAGGTTTCTGAGATTTTGTAACAAATTTTCATTTTAACATCAGTGCAATCAGATTTTGCGCTTCAAAGACTGCGTTTGTCTAGACAGGGCATTTTGAGTTTACTGATACCAGGGTGAAGCATTGATTGTCCGGGGTTTGTCATCAGTGTTGGTTGTGCTGATGTGATCAAGCCATGCTAATAACACGAAAGTATGTTATCTTGAATGTGTCTCTTTTTTTTAAATTAAAGGTTGATGCTATTATAGCCCCAAATTCACAATTAATTAGCAGCAAGTTAAATTGAATAAATTAAGTTGCAGAATCTTGACAGAATCAGCTAGACTAATGGAAGAGAAAAATTTTTGAGACTGAAGACTGCCAGATATTTTGGTAGCCGTCCCTGATTGTTAGAGACCACCAGGAGATGTTTGATTCTCCCCTTCATCGAAGCGAAGACTTCTCAGGAGAAGTGGACTCTCTGCAGGCTACTACAGTATTGAAAAGCAAATCAGTATAAGCAGGATAGGATGAAAGAAAAGACAGTGGTACCAATTTAGGGACCATGCATTCTACAGCCTACTATCCACTTACCAAAGGAACATGTAGGTAACGCAGAGATAGTAGGAACTGCAGATGCTGGAGAATCCGAGACAACAAGGTGCAGGGCTGGATGAACACAGCAGGCCAAGCAGCATCATAGGAGCAGAGAGGCTGACGTTTCGGGCCTAGACCCTTCATCAGAAAAGGGGAAGGGGAAGGGGGTTCCGAAATAAATAGGGAGAGAGTGGGTGGCGGATAGAAGAGGGATAGAGGAGAGGATAGGTGGAGAGGAAACAAACAGGTCGAAGAGGCGGGGATGGAGCCAGGAAAGGTGAGTGTAGGTAGGGAGTTAGGAAGGGGATAGGTCAGTCCAGGGAGGACGGACAGGTCAAGGGGGCGGGATGAGGTTGGTCGGTAGGAGATGGAGGTGCGGCTTGAGGTGGGAGGAGGGGATAGGTGGGAGGAAGATCAGCTTAGGGAGGCAGGGACGAGCTGGACTGGTTTTGGGATGCGGTAGGGGGAGGGGAGATTTTGAAACTTGTGAAATCCACATTCCTCAGACGACATGTCCATCCTGGGCCTCCTGCAGTGCCACAACGATGC